AACAACATGTGGAGATGGGAAAATAAAAAATGGGTTTGTTTTGCTGATAAACAAAAACACAGTTGTAATTGCCGAAAAAAGTGCTACCACCAAATATTGACTCGAGGGGTAAACACTAACCAGCATATTTTATGATAGACATTTAACTTCTTTCATAGCAAGAACAGAAGGAACAATAAACAGGAACATTAGCATTCTGTTCAGTAATATACTTACAGTATATCATTTAATATCATAAAGAAGGTGACTTGGGAATGAAAGGTTTGATTTTAAAGTCTTCTGTTAGAAGACAACCAGGATTAATTGGAAATCCACAGAGGAAAATTATTTGAGCATATATACTGTATGCTTTTAACATTGAAGTTTATGTAATTTTAATGTTCTTGTTATTTTTCATAACTTTGTTTAAAGTGACTGATTTAAAGTTAATTATAAATCCAGTTAAAATAGTTTTCTTTCTGTTTAGAGTATTTTAGGGTTGTAATTGCTTTTTCATTTGCATATGTAAATATGTGAGAGTAGAATTTCTGTGCTAAGTATGATTGCTATTTAATTTAAACCAGTTTAATTTATATTAACCTTTTGAAGGTACTCTTGATAATTGGCTTTCTGAAAATGAAAATGTTTTAATTATATACTGAAGCTTTTCTCAGCCAATGTTTTATTGAACTATCATTTTGCATGTAGCAAAAAACACACATCTTGACAATTTAGCAAAACTTTATTACAGTACATTTTGTAAACAAGAGTTTTTTTACACATTTGCTGTGGCCTCTGGTCAAAGTCTACTTTAGTATATTAATCAAATGCTGAGTTGAGATTATGCATACCTGCAATACTAAATTATCTAATTCAGGATATTCATTTGCCTGTATCCCCTGTGTAACATTAATCCACCTTACTCATTTAGATGTTAATAGTTTATTCATCTAAAAATCTCATACAGCTATTTCATGAATGATCCCAAGGGAGCAGCAGTACAGTATGTGCTAGATACATCTGCAGAGAAGTGCCTCTTATATTTAGTCCTAAATGTGCATCCATGTCATTTCTGTATGAGTCTTTTGGTCCTTGTTACATTGTATACCATGAAGTAGTGCTTTGGGTTAACTTGGCAAATACATTTAAAATTCTAAATACTTGTAAAAAGCCTGTGAGACCCTGAAAAGAACTGCCCAGCTGTATTATTAAAGCCAGTACCCTGGCCTTCTTTCAGATATTGTACAGTATATTTTGTCACATTTTGTGACACTTGTAATCCTATTAATAACAGGATTATTTTCCATGCATGCAAGTGCATTTAATATTAGTGTTCATTTATATTTTCCTGACCAAGGCAGAACAAGTCAAAGAAAAATCAAAGATTAAATTAAATAAATGTATTTATTACAGACTCCAAGTTGCAAGCCTTACCAAAAGTGGCTTTCTAAAAATAGATGGGTAATTTTTTTCATACCCTACTTGAGATGGATTTCCAGAAGTGATTATAAAATTTGAATCAATGATGCGTTAATTCAAACAGAATATGTTCCAGGATAAAATATTATTAAGTAATTATTTAAAGAGATTTAGAAAAAAACATTGAATGATAATCCACTTTTTGGAAGGTGAAGTTGAGTCATGACAATGAAAGAAAACACAAAATACTATAGTAAGCACTATAGGATGTATGCATTTCTGCAACTAACATCTAACATATTTACAGATGGTGATCTGTTTATACTGGATGTGGTTAATCCAGAAGCCCAACACATTACAACATTACTAAGAACTAAACTAGAGGATCAGCTATATGGAAATGTTCTCCTAGGATAAAGTTCTATTTCCATGTTGAAAGTCTTGCTCTTGGAAAAGCAATAGTATTAATTGATATACTGTACAGTACATAGGTCATACAATATGCTGTATTTAAATTTTAAATTTTTATCAAGGTTTTGACAAAGTTTCGCATAAAGGATAGATTCTCAAATTGAGGGTGATAGGCATTCAGTGAAATTGTGTTTGGACAGAAAATTGTACAGATAAGTTAATAGTTATAGTTAATAGAAATAATAAGTTAATAGAAAAAGTTAATATTAAGAAACTGTACAGTCTATTATGTTTCATAGGAGGCCCTACTATACTTCATTAATGTTTTGTTGAAAAATATTAAAATATTTGGGCAAGTTGCAAAACATTCTTTGACCGTTCTGTTCCTTCTATGTTTTTCTGTATATTTAAGTTGTGGCAAGCTTTATTTAAAAAGTATTAGAAGATACAAATCAACAGAAAAGCACATCAATTTTACCAAGACTTTAATCATGCTGCTATAAGACAACTGAAAAAATCCTCAAGGACTCAAGAAAAATATAACTCAAAAGTGTACACTAAACTTTTAAATAATTAAAAATAATGTAATTATATTAGGTGGAATTATATTTAGGCATCTTCACTGAATCTTCACTGGCCAAAGAAGATCGATAGATGGCACTTGTGGTGCATTATGTCACGCCCTCTGCAGCCAGAGGGCGCTCCTTCTCTGTCCTGTCCCTAGTTTCTGGTCTGCTGTCCTTCCTGTCCCTCTCTTTCCCTTGGGCTATATATTTCCGGGTCTTGCACTCTGTCCTGGCTCAGCACTGATGTTCGGATGTC